GCTCTTGTTGCTGTTAATTGCACTAATGTGCGTAATTTATAAGGAAGTGAGTGGCGTGCGAAAAGTTTTGGCCCTACTCTCGGATACTCTGGTATATTTATGGATCGGGGCGCAAACATTTGGCCAGGCAATAATGCCGAAAGTGCCGAGCAGAGACTCGTAAATAGCGCCCCCCACAAGTCCCAACCCTCCGAAAAGCTAACCCCCATCGCAATATCCAAATCTCCGCCCCCAGTTTTGGGATAAGGACCATTCGGCCACCCCGATTCTCGCCTAATAGCAGACAATGCCGCATTGGCCCCCGGGGAGTATGCGATTTCAATAAATATTTCACTGCATTAGCCCGGTTCTGAGGGCTTGGCCAAATCCGGGCAGCGCGTAGCTTCAAATTGCTTTTTTGGTTTGGCAATAACGTGCATTAAATGTTTTGCCCATTATCATTTCTGGCCAACATCACCATTAGCCAAACCTAGTGGCGCTAAGCCATATGCTGAATCAGACGGCAAGGAAAACAAGTTGGCTATCATGGAATGGTTGTTGTAGAATGATATTATTTTGGTCTCAATTACAATCTTGAAACCGCCAATATTCCGTTGAACAGTTTGAACAAAGTAGAAATTAATACCAAAACATGTAATACGTATATTTAAATTAAAAATTACAATGTAGTTTCGTTAATAAATAATTTTATGGTTGTAATGAGTCATGAAAAAATATAGAAGGACTGTGAAATTGCTTTCTAATGATAGGTATCATATATCATATTAAAAATATTTGAAATTTAAGTTCAACAGAATATTATTTTACATTGCGACTTAGTGAAGTATAAATAAATATTTTCCCTTATTCACTTTAAATATTAAAATTGAAATTATTAATCTCTAATATCAATTCAATTAATTATAATGTATTAAATTTATTTTGATATTTCATATTTTGTATCATAAAAAAATCTTTGATATTGAAAAAAAAGACAATCGGCCGGGTTAAAAATGATATCTGTATTTTTAGTGTAGATGCAAGTTGCTTAGGAACCCTTTTTAACCGCAAATCGAGAGCGATTCTACAGACAATGGCGATGGGCGATAGACAACTGCAATTGCGGCAGTCTTTTTGCCTTTTTCAACCAGGTAAGAAGACGCACTGCGAATAGTTGCCTTTTGGCCAACAAAGAAGCACCTTGATTGCCAGCGAACACTACCAACTGGGCTCAACTGAAACGAACCGAGCCAAGGGGAGAGCTTTCTTTCATTTACTGACAATAAATTTTCATTTTCTTGGTAAATCGTTTCGTTGTTGTATCCTGGATTCCGAGTCCTCAATCCTCAATTCTGAATCCTCAATCCTGAATCCTGGTGCCTGCAATTGCAGTTTGCTCCAGAGTCGATTGCCTCTGCCAGGCACATATGCCGCATTTTTGCACCACAACAATTTGGTTGGCACAGCTCATTGTCTTCGTCGGGTATTCCCCGCATATAGAGATGGCTATATAGACCAGGACCAGGCTCCGGCAGCAATTGCAATTGCTCACAAGTTATCCCAAGTGGAAATTGCTCGCTTTGCCAGCCGTTGTTTGTTGCTGGTGTCTGGGCTGGCAAATCGCAATAAAACAAAAGTGATTGTCAAGTGAATGCGTTTGTACTCCCACAACACACATATAGCCAGCTATATAGGTATTCCCCCATCCGGACTGTGGTTGATATCCCCTGGCCCTGGAATATGCAATTCATCATGTGCGCTCTACTGGGTAATTCGGAGTGATTAAAAATGTTATTCATATGCACTTGATTGATGGATGCGAGGGAGTATAATCGACGGATTTGTGAACGGATCGGCGGGCAGGGTAATTGAAATGTGCTGATATTCCTTGGCTCCTTTCGGAGTCACGCTTTTTTTTTATTAAATGCTTAATAAACATAATTCCGTTTAAGCATTTCCTTCCGCCGCAAAAGCCACACGCAATTTTCGACCAACACACGCAGGTAGTTAATTAAGGGTGTGAACTGGTTGAGTTATGCGTGGACTTCTGGAACCCCCATATCTCCCCAGAAACCGACAGCAGCTTGGCCTAGAGGACGGCCAAATGGGCAGTAAATAATTCATTAGCGGCTTTTAACAATACATTTTTGTTGGACACGCTAAATGACCTTTACGGCGGGCTCCTCTTCCATGCACGGAGAAAAAATATGAGTTAGGGGAATATTTCAATATTTTATCTTGATATATTTCATATTGATTGGGTAATTTGATTACTCTGTTACCTCTGATACCATTTTAATATATTCTGATTACATTTTTTATTTTGATTCGGTAATTTCATAAAAGAACGCAATCTAATATTTGTTATTTTATCAATTTGTCAAAATATTTTTCATTTTGATTTATTACTTTTTTGGAACTGGTAATTTTACATAACACAATTAAATATTTACAAGCTTAACAATGTAATACGTATATCGTATTTTAAATATAATCATTACCTTAAAATGTAACCTTTTCCACAAGGCTCGAAATGGTATTGTATGTATCCATAGTGTTACTTTTTCTCAGTGTACATTGCGCTCTTGTATTTTTTAGTTGGGCACTTATTTTAACGAAGCGGCGGCTAATTAGCTGCATCGGTTTTGACCTCTGAACCGGCGGCTTCATTAGCCCAGGAATTCGACGCTTTGTATTTTCTCGCACACCCGCGATAAGAAATGCGGATAAGAGATTGCTGCACCACCTGCGCATTACAAACAAACAATGTGGTTTTTTTTTTGGCATATATTTCGCAGCGGCTGGCAAATTAAAATGCAATAACTCTTCATCAAGGGGGCTTCCCCTGACCCGAGAACACACGTGAACCGAGGGCAGGAAATGTGCTATAATTGAAAAATGTGGTAACAAGACGCTCCACCATCGCACCACCGAACCGCCGAACCACCGCACCACCACCGTGTCGGGCCTAATGAATGCCTCACTTCTTCCATGTCTTTCGCCTTTTGCCTGGTTTTTGCATAACACGCGAGGAGTGTGTCAGGTTTTTGGTAGGATGGTCTACGTATACCATATACCATCCTATAAGGAGGGCCATTCGCCTGATGGCCCGCTCGGCGGGGTGATAAATGCTCATCAGGCTTTAAGGCTGCGCTGGCAATTAACTTTTACAATGTTGTTGAAACGTAATCAAGTTGTCAGCGGCAAAAAGCCGACTTGGCTCGCAAATTATACTCCTAATTACGCAAAAGTTTTCTCAGCGCGGTTCAGCGAAGGGAAATTCCCTAGGCCACAAGCTGTCAGCAGTCTAAAGACAATACGGAAAAGCGGCGAAAAGTGGCGAAAAGGGGGTGGTTTCGGCGGGGAAAATCCACTCTCATTGGCTAATCCTGGGGGATCCATTCGACTAATGCCCTGCCCCGGAGTTTACCCATTCCAAGTGCCCGATTCAAATGTCTCTCAGTTGTCATAACAAACTTGGGGACTTTCATCAGAGCCGCTCTATAGAGAGATATACAGAGAGAAATTCATGAAAAGTGATTTTTTATTATGAACTATGAGTTCATAATTCTGGATAAGTATCAATTTAATCAATCATCTTCAATTTTAGGAACCAGGGACTGCTTTAAAATTTATTTTTACTTAGGAACTGTTTTTCTTTGGATTAAAATAATTGATGGTTGATTCATCAAGTTATTCGTTTTATAACAATTGTTATTATCCAACAACTTAAATAATCAGTATAGTGTAGAAAATAAAATAAATAAGTTTTGTATTAAAAATTGTATAAGTCAATATTATTTTACCCCTGAGTTAAAATTATACCAAAATTCTTCATATACTTCTTAGAAACACTCTTTTCATTTGTTTCGAGCCTTTTTTCTCCATGTCTTTTTTTATTTTCCCCAGCATTATTTTCCTTAAACAAAGCTGAAAAGCATTAGCTTCCCCCCAAAGTCTTGAGTTACAGTTGCCGGGAATTGACAATAAGCGGCATAAATTTTAAAATTTCATTTTTATCGCATTGCAATTTTCCTTGGGCCCGCTTTTCATTTCCTCTTGCGCTTTCCTCCTTCTGGTGTCTGTCTGTCTGAGTGTGTGTGTGTTTTAAGCCACATTTAAGATACTTGGCTGGTATTATTGACTTTCAAGTTGATAAAGTGCCATAAATGTCACCCCATTAAAAGCGGGGAGCAGTCGAGGTAAAGGTAAGTCAAAGGTAAAAATACGCGTTGCTCCTGGGGGTTGTTGTTGCCGGTTGTCCTGGAAAATGGGAAAAGGGAAATGGAAAAGACAGGGGGGTAAATGCGGTTGCTTGCCAGGATAATGCGCCTCAACTCAATTGGGAATTTCGAAAGTAAAGTTGAATTTCATGTTCGGCTGCGGCAATTGTCACAGATGGTTTAATTGAAGTAATTACATACGAAATCCGTCAGGATTTGTCCCCCCCTCACGACACTTCTCGTTTATTATTTTATTATATTATCATATACTAAGCAGCACAGGCAGCAGCATCACCATAAGCCAGCCATTTGGGGTTTGGCGGAAAAGGGTTAATTGAGTTGTTTGCCTTTGTTTTATCTGCTTTTCCGCCACTTTGCCTTCCTCTTGACTCTCCTCTAATGAGCTAATGACAACTGCGTGTAATTATTTACCAACGGAAGAACCGGAAAGGTGAACACGTATTTATGCCACAGCATTTTAAGTGGGTTTTGTCCTTTTTTTGGGGGTTCCAAAGCCAGTTTAACTGGTTACTGACCTATTAAGGTTCATTAAGGAAAACTGTCAGGGGCCAGCTAAATATAGTTGCCAAAAATAATTGAACAGAATTTTCCATCGAATTGAGCAAACATTTTAAGAGCAATAACATGATATTAATAAATATCAATAAATACATTTTAACATAAACGGAATACATCTGGGCAAACAAGTGATCTTTGCGGTTTGTATAAAAAGCTGCCCAGCAGCCGAAACTTCAAGCAGTAGCTGCATCACTAGTTCTGACTTTCAATCCTCTAAACATGATCAAGTTGATCCTTTTCGTAGCAATCCTCATGGGCGTGGCTCAGGCTACTTTAATCATTAAGCCCCCAAAGCCAGTGGAACCGAGCACCAAGTGCCAGATCTACTGGAGGGAATACGCTTGGGCTCTAGAAGATTGCGTCTGCCGGATCTTCCAAAACGCGTGTCTCCTGAACGCAGAGAGCAATCAGCGGGAGAAGGCTGGAAAGACGCGTAAGATGTTTCTCCTTATAATAGGATTCATTGTAATATACATATATTTTTAGCTCTCATCCCGGTTTCGGAGAAGGTATGCAAGAAGTTCATCCCTACCAAGTGCAATCTCCTTGGATGGCCTGTGGTGGCTAAGTTCCCGGTTCCGTCTCCTTGCGGATGCAATGGCAAGCCCGGAAGCCTCGAAACCAAAAAGTTCAGAAGTCTCTGCGAACTACTGAAATACTCAGCTGATTGTTCTCGACGTAAGTAAATATACTCTCTTAAATATAAAATATTTTATACATTCTTATATTACAATATTGCAGCCTTCATCAGCTACTCAAAGTGTTAAAATGTGAACCGCAAAAACTAACCACTTAAAATCTTGTTATTGTTAAAAATTAAAAACATATATCAGCGCAAAATTTTTACGATGTTTTTGTCTAAAATGTGGCTTTGCCAAAACGCCTAAAATTATACCTCTTTGATTTTGTAAGACCTCAGATATTTATTTAAAACAGACCCTAAACTGTTTTTGGGAGCCTGCTTTATAAAATCTCTTTTATAAATATCTCTTTAGTAGGAAATTTCCGACTGGATATTTCGGTCAGTCAAGGTTACGCAAACACATATTCCTTATTCGTGTGCAGCTAAAAGCGCACGTTCTGCAAACATTTCGGAATATCTTGGCTGTTGGTTTTTGAAGGCTCTAAGTCAACAAAATGGCTTGCTACAACTGCTAAAAAAGTGAAGTATATTTAATATAAATAGCCAAAGGGGTGGTATCAAGGTACCAGTTATACTCACGGTCACCATTAAGATATGTTCCATTTTAAAGTACTGTTTTTATTGTTGAGTGTTTCGGGGCTGTCCTTTGCTCATATTGTCGAGGAACCCGAAGAGGATCCAGATCCTGACACGGATCCCGAAACGGAACCAGAAACGGATCCCGAAACGGATCCCGAAACGGATCCCGAATCGGAACCTGAAACGGAACCTGAAGCCGAATCACAGTCCACAACAGTTACACCACCAACTTCGACTACCCCCAAGAATTGTAATATTTACTACAGGAATTATGAATGGGCTCTCCAGGATTGCGTCTGCCGATGTTTCCAAAATGGATGTCTTATGAAAATAGAAAACGATCAGCGAATAAAAGATGGCAAAACTCGTAAGTAACTGAAAATATTAACTCTAATTAGTTGTCTTTAAATCGTTAAACTGTATTCTAGCACTTGTACCCGTTTCGGAGGATCTTTGTCGAAGCTTTATCAACAAAAAGTGTAGCGTGGGATTCCCCGTGGTCGCTGAATTCCCCATACCAGCTCCTTGCGGCTGCAATCGATTACCAGGATCAATCGCCACAGAGCGATTCTACAGCCTGTGCCACCTGCTTAAATACTCATCTGAGAACACAAAACGTAAGACAAACCCGATTTAAGCTGAAACAGAAATTTATGTACATATTTCCTATCTTTTCAGCATTCCTTACTTATTCTTATTGTTGGCCCATCTAATTGGTATCATTACAAATTTAAGAACTCTGCTGATTTTTCTGCTTATATACATTTAAGTTGTATTTATTTATGGGGAGATGGTATTTTTAATACATTAAAGTGATATTTGTTTTTAGGGAGAGATGGTATTTTTTAATTATGTTGATTAATAAAACCGACTAAATATAAACTTGGGGATATACCCATTTAAGTGGTTAAGTAAGTTCAGTTTTAACTATCCGAATATTTCTTGGATGAATCAGAATGTGTTTTAATTATTTCGGTTGTGGTTATAACTAAAATTAAATTAACAAAAGGTGACAAACTATAGGTGACCTAAAAATATTTAAATACTTTTTATTGAGGGCAAAATGTCTTTAACCTACGCTCATCTATAAATATCAAGCAAAAGTATACTATATTTTATTTTACGTGCATATGGTTTGCGATGAATGTGTGTACTTAATCAGCAGTGATAGCCCAAAATAGAACTAAAAATCAACTGATCAAATAAAACTTTATTCCAGCGCTGGAGCTATAAAGAGTGGTTGATCATTGCCAATTGTAACAGTTTTGAGTGTAATACAGTATCTCCAAGCCGATTGCAATGCTTAATATCAAGTTAATCATCCTGGTTGCCCTCGCCATCACCATGGTCCAGAGTTGCTCCATCGAACAGCCGGAGGAGGAGGTCCAGTGTGGGTGTTGCAAGTCCCAATGCCCCACGTGTGGATCCTGCGGATGTGGATGCCGACCATGTCGTTGTTGCTCCTCATGTGGGTGCGGTTGCCAGGACTAAGTCAGGTTTCCAGGTATGTTTTATTCAAAATATGTCAATTTATATCTAAATTAAGGTATCTTTATTTCAGACCAGAATCCCATAGGACACCGCCCCGAGAAATCATTGTTTCTAAAATTATTTGTTTTCCTTTTCATTAAAGTGCTGTTAGATCCCGAAAAACTTTCATCTTTCTCGCACTTTGTGCGCTCAATTGTGAAGGGAGCCGCGCTACAATGAGCAGACAATCATTTTCATTGCATTGATCACTTTTTTATTCATATCCGTTCACTCGTTGGCAAAGTAATTTCTTTGTTCTTTCCGCCACGCTTTCCTGATTTCCCCAGTTCCGCAATGGGGAACAAAAGGAAAAGTAATCATATCGGGACCCCAGTTCTTGCCCTTTTTTTCCCGTTTATATCTTTGTTGCACTTTTCTACGTGAATTGGTTTTTGGTTCCTTTTGCCAGCTCCTTCAGTATTCCATTTCATTTGTTGGTTTTTGGTATACAACCAGGTTGACAAATTATGTTTTAAAAATGGAAAAGTTAAGATTTGATAGCTTATACGAATTTTTATTAAACTTGTAATGGGTTACAATTACACCTTATATCCATTATAATAATATGAATATGTTCTAAAACGTATTATGTGGGTACTCATCTAACTCGATATAACTTAACTTACCTATGCTATTAATAGTCAAAGATGTAGCCTCGTTGAAATACCTAAGACTGTTGTATTATTTCCAGTTGATATAACCATCCTCTGTTTACTTATAGATGACCCACCTGGTCGCCGCGTGGAGCGGCAGGATGTCTCCGCCTAATAACCCTAAAAGCCTTATCGAGTCATTTAGTATGAAAACAAGCAATTAAAATGATGAATATGCAATAAACGTGGATTGTGTATACAGACACACTCGCAACCACTGCCTCCTGAATAAAGGATAGCGTCCTTGCGTCCCATACATTTTATATGCTAATGAGCGGCACACACAAAAATAAAATAAAATGAGTCGAATTTTTGGGGAATAAAATGAAAGGAAAAAGGCGAACATACATTTGCCTAATGAAAATAGCACCATTAAAATGGGAAAAACAACTTTAGATACCGAAATTCGAAACACGGCGAGTTTTGGCAATTAAAAGGATACGAATGGAACAAGCTCCTATCAACTACCCGCTGTGAAAATGAATATGTATGCGTTACATATATATAAAAACCTATATATATATATCTCCATGATCGCCTAGCAAATTAGAGATTAACACGCATGTGTCGTCCTGTTTTGGGCAGTCCTCTGACTTTTGGTTCATTGACCGCCGCTGTGGCAATAAAAGTAAATGACTCTGAAAACTTGGCGGCCAGTTTTATAACTTAACGAATTAGAGCAATTTGAGAGGACTATAAAAACGTCGGGAAAACCGCAGAGGTATGTTGAAAATTTTACCGAAATATTCCAGTGGCGCGTGCCGACTCAGGTAAAGTTGTCCCAGAACTGAGGGGGTGTGTTTAATAGGCCACGACGGACCTTAGAACTCTGGTATCGTATCAGTGGAAAATTAAATGCATTTCGAGGACTCAAAAATGGTATGGGGCTAGGGGATAGGGGATAGACACACCCGTGCCGGGTCATAATTGCAGTGCATCATCCAGCTATACAAACATATTAATTAATTCGAGGCCTATGCGCCTGTCAGTTTTCAGTTTTCAGTTCATCTCTGACTTAATCAAGGGGTCAACTCGGGTCCCGGGGGTCAACAACTTAATTATAGTGCACTGGCCAGTGTGTGTTTTGCATTTCCACGTCCAATTTATTATTTGTTTCTCCAATTGTTTCGACCCCGGCCCCGCCCACCGCTAATTTGATAATTGCAATTGCGTGTGTGCATTTGCGGTTGGCGGCGGCTCGTTGGCCCGTCTGATGGGTTAATTGGCCTTTAATTTGTTGCAAATTCGCCGCGGGGCCAACAAATGCCGCCCAATAGTGTCGACATAATGTTCGAATTACATTTACAACTGTATCGAGCCGGCCTAATATATTATGATTATGATTTGCATTAGTTGGGCGAGGAAAGAGTTGCTAACCGGAAATGCCCCCCGAAATTAGCCACCTCAAACTTTCGTAACCCGCATAAAAGTGGTCGAGTGACAATGGGCTAAACGAAATTGATTGATGATAGCAGAACGAAAATGTAGCTCTAACACTTTGACAGATTGCCAGGAGATAACTGCAGGATTGAAAAGGGATCCTTATCGAGTTATCAGTCGAATGGCACGAGTCGTACAAATATTGTGACAGGAAAGGGGTCACAAATGATACGAATGTAAATGCGAGCAGCTTATTGACATTAATGTAACAATTGTCAAAGGATTTATTAACAGCCCCGAAGGGGATGGTGCCGCATTCGTTAGGGGTGGTGGTGCCATCCCTAAGTGCTATCAATCATTTGATTGATATTAATGAGCTGAAATTTGCATTATTCCGATGAGGATCACATGTTCCAGTCGACTGTGTGTTGACTTTTAGCAAAATGTTTGCATAAATTTCAGGCGTAATTAAGTTTGCCCGAGCACGATTTTCCATTAGCATTCGAAATATACAATATATTTCCAATCAGATTTTGCCTTTCCATCTGGCAGGCAAATAAATTATAACGAATTTGCACAGACACAGGAAAAGTACTCGAATATCGAAGCCAGTCGAAACGAAAAGAAAAACTCAAATGTAACAAGAAGATCAACAACAAAGCCACAGGAATACAAATTACCAGGCCACAAAAAAGCCAGACAGCAATGCTCACATCCTGCAGATACAAAAATGTATATGTATCTTTATATATGTATCTCGCTCACTTACCCAGCCATATAAATGCACAGTTTGTGGTGCATATAAAAAGCGGAAAGCAAATTTGAATTTTTAAATTAGTTTTGTTAACTTTGGCCGTTGTTGTGGACTCGTTGTGGCAGAGCCTGGAAATGTTTAACGACTCGTAAGGAAATTGCAAAGTAAAATGTCTTCAGGAATTTCACATTTTCCGTGTACGTAATAAAAAAGCCGAAGGAAACCGGCAACAAATGCGGCAAAGAAAAGCCACAAGATGGCGTTGAGTGGGCGGGTGGATGGGTGGTTGGGTGGTTGGGTGGTTCGGTGGTTAGATGGGTGGTTTGGGGTGCCTTGCCAAGTTGGGGGTGGTTCTGAAAATGGCGAATTAAATTTGAAATTGCGGTCGGTTGTTAGAGGGGAAAATGTCACAGCAAGTTGAGGTAAAAGTTGCGTCTGGCATTGCTTTTGTTGTGTAAAATATGGAAAAATGTCTCCTCGCCCGGATAATGTGCGGTAAGGTGGGTATGCGGTATGCGACTGCTGCTTATGCATACCAAATGTGTGTGACCCTACCCGGCCACGCCCACCTCCAACCGCCCACCGCCCCCCAAGAGCGCATCTGAAGCGGCAGCAAGTTTATTTGTTTTGTCAGTCGCTGCACGCAGCTCGGAGACCAGTTGATGGCTTGGAAAATAAGCTCAGGGCTTTCTCCAGAAACATTCTCCCGTCCTCATTTGAAATGCAAAGCAGCACTTTGCTAGGAAAAAAATTAAAATTATGTTATTCCCACCGCATCTTGGAGTAAAAGCAAAAGATAACTTACTCCTTGTGTAACAGAAATCTTAATGAAGTAAATGTGGGGATCCTTGTAACACAGGTCTAAGAAATCATGGCCTACTTTTGGGATGATTTTAGAAATTATTGTATTTTTAAAATACTATAAAATACTATTTTATTTCAATAGGTCTTATAATAACATTTATTTAATAGTCATTTCGAAATTTATAATTATTGTTGTTCCTTAAAACTTTTCCATATGTTTAAGAAAACAAAGGACTAGTATCTCATCGTTCCATTCTTCATAATTCAATGAATCTCAAGTGTTTCATAAGTATCATAGTTATAATAATACTTAATTTTAAAAGTCCACTACACATATGTTAGATCTGTGGATTCTGTTTACCTAGTTATGATATCAAAGTTGTTAGGAATAATAAGAATGGCTTTTAGATTCCCTCTATTATTGTAACCATTTGAAATTTGTTTCTACTAATATTAATTGAATATTGCTTATGATATTCTCACCAAACCCAGTAACAACAAAGAAATAAAAATTAAATGTACAATCAGTAAAAAAGGCGTTCCTAAAACACACCCATAAAAAACACACACATGAAGATCACAAAGCAAAAAAGACAGCAAAAGAGACGGCACGACAAATCGCAAAAAAAGGACTTTGTGCAATTTATTTTGCCAAGTAAAATTACTTGTCGCCTGGGGGGAATGATTTGGAGCACAGGATGGCATGGGTACCCACTGCACTTACGGGGCAGGATACATCCGACATATAGCTAAATATGTGGATGGGCGGGCGTTCAAATTGGACGGACAACAACAAAGGCGGTGGCACACTCAAAGTGAACGCCATGTCACGGAAAATATTAAAATTAGCTTTAACATGTCTTCGTTTGTGTGCAGCAGCAGCAGCAGCAACTCATATTTTGCCTTTGGTGCGAAATGTTGCAATCAAAAATTGGCTGAAGGACTCTCATCATCTCCATCTCCCCCCCCCCAAAAAGATGAAAAGATGAAAGGCGAAAGGCAGGACTAGATTGGAGCGGTCTGTAAAGTAAGAGCCGGAAAACTTTTGATGCTGTTTGCTACTTTTCACATTTCCCTGTCAACATCGCAGTGACCGCAGTGTGTTCCTTTTCATTTAAACTTTTTGTTTTTCTGTTTGTTGCAGCGCCATCGCCGCTTTTGATTTCAGGACGGGTCGAGGACATGGACACTTTTCCATTTTGCTCCCGGTTTGTCAGTCAATTTCTGCAGATTCCAGTTGATAAAAACTCTGATTGGCTCTCGGCATTGGCAAGCAAATTATAATATTCCTACACAGGGGGAAATATGTTGTATAATATTATAAATATAATAAAATGATATAAATAATAAGAATTAATTTATAACGCACT